AAAGACTGGACCACAACAGAAGATAAAGTACATGAGACTGAGCTAGTGAAATAGAATTTTATGACTTTTGACTAAAACATTACTGACCCTCCTCTATGCGTTGTTTTCCAGAGTTAAGAATTTTTGTCTTTCTTGAGATGTCAACAGGTCCATGTACCTACTATTTGAACAGAATCCTAACCTGTTTCCTGGCTTCAAGTCTTAAGCAAAGTTCTCTGAACACTTTTAAATTTTTATTTATGAAAGCTAAAACTGCCTTTCTATTTAATAACCACAGTAAGCTATATATAGTGTCAGCTGGGTGTCACTTTATAGTATATTCATGCCTGAAGTCAAACATGTTCACAGATATGTATATATCAGCTGAACTTGCTATTGAAATTAGTTAATTCAGATATTTTGTGAATCAATAAAATGTGGGGGGAAAAGAGAAAGGAATGGAAAACAACTGCTGATACCACAGACAGTGTGGGAGGAGGGTGTGAAATGGCAGAGAGTAAGAAATAGGAGAAAAAATATATAAGAAAAAAGAAATGGAAAATTATTTGTTGACAATAATATGTATGATTAAGCCACTATATAGCGTATTCTGATGAGAAATCACACTTTGTAATGTTGTAATGTTTAGCAAATGAATGTAAAATAAATGAATTTAAACTTTTTTAAGAAAAGGCAATTTCTAATTTATCCAAGTTTTCAAGAGAATGTTTAAGAGGGTAGCAACATTATGAGGATAGCAATGATCCAGATTAACAAAATCCTATATAAAGATAAAACAAAATGAATGCCAACTCATCATGACCAAGTAGAGTTAACATTAGGAATTCAGATGTCCTGAAAATATTAATGTAAATAGTAACAGATTAGAAAAACATATGATGCCTCAGGTGATTCAGAAAATACTTGATAAAATTTAGCACTAACTCATAATTGAGTCCTAAAAAAAGGGAAAAAAGGTGTCCACAACACTGAGAAAAAAATCTGTTTTTTATATTCCCAAAGCAATCCTAGAAACCTAAAATAAAGATGTTTAGCCTCATCTTTTGAAAACTATAATACTGTTCTCATGCTGTAAGTGTAGTATCATTCATGTTTTCAGTTATTCAGCACCCTCTTCCTATAAGAGAATCATTCTTGTTCAGCATGTAATCAGCCTTGACCACGTGACTTGCTTGACCAATGAAATGTAAGTAAAGTGACACAGGTATATACTTACAAGTAGAAGATTCAAGGACTACAGAGTAGTTCCGTCACATTTTCATTTCTCTTTATAATAAGACCAGCAGGTCCCAGTTAGAGCTACTCTTTCAGTCTTGGTCCAAAAATAAAGACAACATGAAACAGAACCACAACATAGGCAACCCACCAAATGCATGTAACATAAGCAAGAAATAAACCACTGTTGTTTTAAATCAAGAAGATCTGAAGGTTGGATATTACTATAGCATAACCTAGTGGAAGCTGACAGTGATAAAGTAAAATCCTGAGATGCTACTTTATACACACATGTTTGGGCAAAATTGATAAGTCTGATAACAAGAAGTGTTGATGACCAACAATATGTAAAAATCAAACTTAATGACTACTGGTTGGAATGTAAATTGGCATGATCACTTTGGCAACATCTGGAAAAGCTGAAGTAAAACTGCATCCTACCAACCTAGTGATTCCACTATCAAGTGTCCACCCTGGAAAAAATTCTTGTACAAGCAAACAAGGAGACATGCACTATAATGGTCACTGGAAAACTATTTCCTATTGTATATAAGAAACTGTCTCAGCAGGGGACTATTCATTCAGAGGACTACTATATACCATTTAAAATGAATAAAGTAGATTCATACATCAGAAAGAGACATGAAGGGCAAAAAAAAAGAAAAAGATGGGAATGAGACTTCAGTAATATCCTTAATATTTTATCTTGTTTGAAAAATCTGGAGCCAGCCTATAGCAAAGAGGTTAAGCACTGTGTATTGGGAGCCGGATCTCATGTGGCACACTATAGTTAAAATCTCAGCCCTGGAGGCTTGGAAAACATACCAAAAGCACCTGCATGTGCGGGCCCAGAATCCTGACAGAAGGGAAAGGGGAGGGAGAGGATCGCAGCATGGTCTGTGTGTACATGGGCAAGTGGGGAGGCACTGGCACATACACCCTTTGGCAGTTAGAAAAAAGTTAAAAAATCTAAAACACATGGCAAAATAGTAATACCTGACTAAAAATTTTATAATGAATACACAATTGTCTCTATTATTTCTGTATTTTTATACTTTTTAAATATTTCATGACTTTTAAAAGAAGATATAAAAAATGTAGACTACAAAATTCATTACTCTGTCTTGAGATTTAATAATATAAATATTTTCGAAGATGAAAGAGACATTCTAGGTCATCTAAGTAAATCCTATCATCTAGAGATGAAGAAAGTAAGGCCCAGAGAGATTGAATAAATGAAATAACAAGCTAACTAAAAGTTGGTTCTATAAAACCTAGATTCTCTAACTTCTAAAACAGGTATCAAAGACAAGGGATATGTGATCAAATATAATGCAACTAATTAAGTTTAGAAAACCATTCTATTATTTTCCTTAGTGCCGCCCCCAGATCCTGAAATACATAGTAAGTCAGTCTCTGTCTCTGATTAAAAGAGAGTGTTGGGGAAAGAAAGGAGGTGAGTGTGAAGGGCAGAAGTAAAGAAAGATTTAAGGACTGCTATGGTCTGAATGTGTCCCTCTAAAACTCATGTTTAGACCTAATGTTTACTGTAATGGGTGGGGCCTTTAGGCAGTGTGATATTTTATTTATACATCATATATCCATGGTTCCCAGATCATAAGTATTTGGCCTTTTTGTCCTTGGTTCTTGAAGCAGCTTTGGAATAGCTTCCAGAGAGACAAAGATGAAAGAAAACTTACCTCCTTCTGTCCTCCTTTCCCCTACTTTTTGTTTTTATTTTTTAAATTTTATTATTTATACATTTAATCACTATACATCATTTAGGTTGTAAAGAGACTTTACCCAGAATGATATACACCTCAGTCCAGCCCAGTTGAGGAATATTATACACGTCCTCATCAACAAATAATAAAACCAGAATTTATCTTCTCCAAGGTGGGTCTCACCTTTACCTGAGAGTAAATCATTAAGACTCTCATTCTGAAGGTGTCCTTTCTCAGGGAAGAAGAAACTACCTTTTGATCCAGTAATCCCACTACTGGGTATATATCCAAAGGAAAGGAAATCAGTATTTGCAGAGATACTCACACGCCCATATTTAATGCATCCTTATCCATAATCGTCAAAACATGAAATCAACCTCAGTGTTCATCAACAGAAGAATGGACCAAAAAAAGTGATACACACACAAACACACACACACACACACACACACTGAATTATTATTCAGTCATTAAAAGGAATAAAATCCTGTCATAAGTCAAACATAGATGAGCCTGGTGGACATTTCGTTAAGTGAAATAAGCCAGACACAGAGAAATATTACATGTTCTCATTCACAACCAGAAGCTAAAACTGACCTCGTAGGAGAGAGTAATGGGTTACTAGAGGCTGAGAAGGCTAGGGTGAGAATGAACAGTGAGATGCTAGTTAATGAACACAAAATTACAATCAAAAAGGAAATATAAATTCTAGTGTTCTTTAGCACAGTAGGATGACTACAGTAACAGTAATTTATGGTACATTTAAGGATGGGTAAAAGAGAAAATTTCAAAATGCTTCCAATACAAAGTAATGATAAATGTTTAAGGTGATGGGTATGCTAATTACCCTGATTTATATACACAGTATTCATGCACCCAAAAAACATACTTGTTCATCATAAATATGTATAATTACTATGCCAATTAAAAGTAGTTCTACAAACTAATTTTTTAAAAAAAGATAAAGACAGGACCGTAAATTACTCATTTCCATATCTTCAGCACTTTGCAACATAACACACACATAAATATATTAACTACTGTTCAACTAGATAGACATATCTCTACCAAGCTGAACACTCTGGTTGTTACTAAAGTATGTCCTTTTTTTTTTTGCAAGAATTCAAAGAATTAGAAAAAAATATTTTTAATATTTACTAGATTAGAAGACCAAAGAAAAGATTCAACTATATTTTAAATAAGCAAGACAGGTCTTATGTGTGGCAGACAAAACTAGTTCTGTGGTCAGATTTGTGAGCTCAAGAGCCAGAAGTTATAGCTAGAATCCTGGCTCAACCACTAACTAGTTATGAAACTTTGGTTGTGTTATTTAACCCCCTTCAGGCCTTACATTTCCATTGTAATACTAGAGATATCAATAATAATAATACCTATGTTATATAAGTTCTATAAGTATTAAATAAGATAGTTCATTCAAAAGATCATATAAGTTCTTCAGTAAATATTAACTTATCGATACATGTCATGTAAATAATTGAGTTGTGAAGAGCAATAAACTCTCTAACAAAATTAGAAGGTGCTAGATGCTTTAAACAATAACATGGCTTCTGTCAGAACAAGGAGTAGTGAAATATTTTTATAAATCTGAAGATTTTTTTTCATTAAACCAAATAAATGAACTGGATTTTAAGCCATTATCTGCCTCAGAAAATGCGTATGTTTAAGTCAACTGCTGACATTTAATTATTCTGAAATGCCAACCTAGTGCTATCAATTCTCAAGAAAAACATCTTAGAGCCAGAGGTAATATTCAAAATACTTAATGCTTGTTCGGGAGAAACACCAGCCAGTACACATAACTTGTGCCGACTGGCAGACCATGGTCCCTGCAAATCCAAAGAAATACTATTAGTTATGGAAATAATGACCCTCCTCTTCTATATTTTTTTCTCTAAAAAAAAAAAAAAAATGTGACAAATTGACGTAAAAATCTTGATAAAACACATGGTATTCATTGTCTCATGCCACATAAGAGGGCAGGCTATATTTTGCTTTCACTCCCTACATGAAGATATCTCCCCATTAGACTCTCTGTCTCACCTCCAGGTCACAGCTATACTCAGTGCCGTCTAGGAGGGTCACTTTACACTGGACAGTTTTGGTCTTCTTGGTGGCTTTTTGAGCAGTTTTTAGCTCATTGGTCTGCACTTCCTTTGTCTCCCTATTTGCTGCTTCTTCTGATTTGTCTTCCTGTATTTCCTTTATCTTCTCTTCTCTCTCCTTACTTTCTTCAGCAGGCTATTGAAGACAAAAAAAAAAAATTAAGTTCATATTAAAGTTAACCAATTTGTAGAAACACTGTATTAAAAAGAATATCTTCAATAATAACTGTGACTAGATTATAACCACTATAAGGCAAAGATTTTAAAATACTTGAAAATTCTAATAAAAGAATCTTTCCACTCATTTGCCTTCCATCAGCAGTTTTCCTATTTTACCATGTTGGTCATTTCAGCATTAAATGAGTAAAAGAAACTATATCTCAGGAATTACAATTTAAATATCATTTCAAACAGTAAGATTTCCAATTAAAATCTCATACCATGACAATACTTGGGCTACAGTAGACAGCTAAAATGAACGCATACAAATCTACTGACTACTTACTGATACTTAAATACCTACATAAATAAATCTGAGAGTAAAAAACACTCTTTTTAAAAGAAGTGGCAAGAGACTGAGAGTATCTGCTTAACTTTAACAGGAACAATATTTTTATTTATTTATTTATTTATTTTTAGTTTTTTTAGGTCATAGGGTACATATACTCTCTGGAGAGAAAGAGTGGGAAAGTGAGAAATCATCCCCCAAGGGGGATGGTCATGCCACAATCCCTTCTCCTCCATTCTCCTCTCATGATTGTTGGGCACACATACAGACACACCCCGCATGATTTTTCAAGCCACCATGTCCAACCATGTGGGAGTGCAGCACATTAATCACAACACCTACTGGCCCCAGATATGAAATTCTTAACAGTATGTATATTTAGTGGTTTTTTTTTTTTAATTTTGGAAATTTTTTTTGAAAAGAAGTAACAGAAGGTTACTGCGGTAGACCAATCCAAAAACCTACATTCCATGTATATAAGCCAAAGCAATATCTCAAAACAAGAGATCTGGAAATGATCTAAAATAAATCACTGGGGGCATGCCTGCACACTTGCCTGTGTTACGCTATGAAGTTTACATTGCCACACGATCATCTCCAAACATACCTGTCTATCAGCAGTGCTCACTGAAGGCTTTTCCTCCTTGACCTCAACCTTTAGTTCCTGGTGTTTTCTCTGAGCTGCTTCTTCAGCATCACCCTTGGCTTGTCTCTCTTCTACCAGAAGGGGCTCCTCTTTATCCAAGATCTGTTCTTCCACGACGGCTTGGGTAGGCTCCTTTTTATCTCCTCCATCTTTGGGCACTACCAAATTATATGACTTCTGTTTCTTAAGCCATGGGGGTATGAATCGAGAAATACCCCTGCTCTCAGATGGATCCTTCTCTCTCTTCTGGCGGCGTGGACTACTTTGGCTTTCAGTGGTAGGAGGTGGCTGGGAACCTTTCTCTTCCTCTGGATCAGACTGATTCTGCTGATTCTCTGCTACTTCGTTAGGTTTCCCCTTGGTTGTATCTGCTCCTAACTGGTCAGAGTCCTTCACTTCAGATGCAGAGCCTACTTCAGTAGTCATGGTCACAGCTTATGCTGTAAACAGAACAAAATCATAAACCTGTTAACTCACAAACTCTCCTAACTTTCGTTTAGAGGCAAGGGATAGGGAAAGGAAGATTGGAGGGTAAGAAAGGGGAATGACTGAGAGGTAAAGGGGCAGAAACACAGGTCGAGAAAGAGGGTTCAGATGCACAAGAGAAAATGGCAGCTACTGCCTTTTAGAATTCTCAATCAGAATCACTGAGCCAGCGCTTAGCAACACAATAGAATTCTGATTCTATAGTTACACCTTAAAATCACCATGAACTGTAGGAAGAGGAATTATTTTTACTTGATTTCAATGATATAAAGGATAACTGACCTAAAACTTCTCATTTTCTTAAAGAAAATTACTTTTTTACTGTACTTGATTTCCTTTATTCTACAATATGAAAATGATATCAGCAATATTAGAAATTACTAAGACCCCAGCTGGCCCATGGCCTGGTGGTTAAGGAAGCTGGATCCCACATAGTCAGCTATGCAGTTCGAATCCTGGACCCAGCAACTTAAACACAGGCGAGGGACCAGCAGATGGCATAGCAGTTACGTTGCTAGACTCCCATGGACCTAGCAGCTTAAAACTCACACTGGACACATGTGCGTGTGGCCCAAAATTCAGAGAGAAGAATGGAGGAGAAGGGATTACAGTGTGGCCACTCTCCCAGGGGGTGATTTCTTGCTTTATGTCTCTCTTTCTCTCTGTCTCTCCAGCAAGTACACACACCCTATAGCAAAAGTCTCTATTGAAAAATAAAGAAGAAACACAGGCAAGTGTGCAGACATGCCCCAGTATTTCAAAAGGACGGAGAAATGGAGGAGAAGGGGTTGCTATGTAACCACACCCCATTTACAGTGTTTTCTCCCTATCCCTCTCTCCCTCTAGCCAGGGCACATGCCCTCTGGAAAATTTAAAAAGGAGGGGGAGGGAGTCCTAAGACTTTTTACTATAATTTCACATATTTAAACCAAAATCTATAAAAATGCTAGGTGTTATAAAAACAAATTTTATCTTTTAAAGAAGTATTTATTTATTTATTCATTTATTTTCATTTGACCAGAGACAGAGAGAGAGAGGGAAAGTGAGAAAGCAAGCCACCAGGTCTGAGACTTGAACCATGGTCGGCCATGTGGCAGTGTCCAGCATCTTAACCACCACACCACCCGCTGGTCCCATATAAAAATAAATTTTAAATGTTGGGTGCTTATTAGTAGGAAAAATGTAGAACAGAAATGTAGTATTATATGTTCCAATATTAAAATCTATAATTTACCTTCACTATTCTAATGCCAAGTTAATCTTCTAGGACAGGTACTCAACTGTAACCAAAATTCCAACTTATCCTACCCAACCTCAAACACTTTTTTTTTTGTATTTATGATTACAAAAAATATCTAAGGGCCCTAATCTAAAACAAAGACGTGATGAAAAGAAAACAAAATCCATCTAATGACTGAATGAACCTATCTCAACTAATGAAAATAAAATTTAAATAAGAAAATATATACATTTTACATCCACAATGAGGGACTTTTAAACTATAGTAGCACCACTAACATTAAAGACCAGAAAGAGTCAAGACCTACAGAGAGAGCATATCACACTCATTCTCTTCTCTGTTGCCAATAAAAAGTACAGTTCTGGCACCTTGGGAAGCTATCTTTCAAAGGAGTGAAAACTTAAATAAGCTTAAACACACAACCATTTTAAAGCTTTACTAAGATATAATTCACAAACCATAAAAGTCAGCCTTTTAAATTGTAGTTAGTGGTTTAAGTATAGTCACAAGATTGTAGAACCATCATTACTAATTTTTGAATATTTTCATCATTCTGAAAAGAAATCCCGTACTCACAAGTAGTAATCTTTCATTGATCCCTGTCTCCCCAGACCCTGGCATCCAACAGTCTACTCTCAGTCTGTATGGACTTGCCTATTTGGACATTTCAAATAAATAGATTCATAAAATATATGGCACTCTCACTTAGCACGACGTTTCCAAGATTCATTCATGTTGTAACACATACTCATATTAGACTTGTCCTTTGGGTTTGTTTTATGTTTGTTTGTTTTACATAAGATGTGTAGATTTGGGGCATGCATGCATACATGCCCGGCATAATTTTCAAGTCGCTGGTCTAGACTAGAACCGCAGTTGGCAACATGGGAACTCAGTGCTTTAACCTCCACATCACCTGCTGACCCCTACACTTGCTTCTTAAAATATTACTCAATCTTCTGCAAATCATATCCGATAAGGGTCTAGTAGCTAGAATACGTAAAGAACTTTTACAACTGGAAAAAAAAAGTTTAAAATGGGCAAAGTGCTTGGATAGACATTTCTCCAAAGAAAATATGCAAATAGTCAATTAACACATATTATAAAAGATAATATCATTAGTGAGACAAATGCAGTCAAAACCAGTATAAGACACCACTTTATATCCACCAACATGGCTATAATCGAGAAGACACTAGTAAGTATTGGTGAGGATATAGAAAATTTGCAATTTTTACTATTGCTGATAAAACTATAAGATGGTGTAATCAATTTAGCCAAGTTTGGCAAAGCCCTTAAAAATTAAACAGAGTTACAATACAGACCAGCAATTTCACTGGTAGGAATATGCCCAGAAGGAAAGAAACCATCTGTTCACACAAAAATTTGTACATGGATGCTCCTAATGGCATTGTTTATAACAGCCCCCCAAAACAGAAATAACCCAGATGCTCATCAACTGATGACTGGCTAAAACATAGTACACCCATGCAGAACATTATGTGGTCATAAAAAGAAATCAAGTACTGATGCATGTTACCACATGGACAAACCTGGGAACCATTATACTCAGTGAAAAAGTGAGTCACGCGTTGTGTTATTCCATTTATACGCAATTTCCAAGATAACTAAATCCATATAATAAAAAACGTTTTGGAATCAGACTGTAGAAATCTTATGACTATTCTCAAAAGCACTGAATTGTACTTTTTTTGGTTTTTAGTTTTTTGCCATAGGATGTATGTGCTCGCTGGAGAGAGAGAGAGAGACAGCCCTCAGGAGGAATGGCCACAGTAGGATGTATGTGCTCGCTGGAGAGAGAGAGAGACAGCCAGCCCTCAGGAGGAATGGCCACAGTGCAATTCCTTCTACTCCATTTCCCTCTTGGAATTGGGGCACACATACTTGGTGTGATTTTCAAGCCAGGGTCTAAGACTCAAACCACCAAGTTCGGTCAGCCACATGTAAGTCCAGTGTCTTAACCACTATGCTACCTGCTGGACCCTGAACTGTAAATTCTAAGAGAGTGAATTCTTTGATATGTAAGTTATATCTCAATTAAAAGAAATGTGTTATTATTATAATTTTTTAGATGCTAATCCAATATATACGTTCCAAAACAATCAGCCTATATTGAATGGTCTCTACGATGTATAAGTACTGGGCACATAAATACAGCCTGCTTTGAGAAGATGAGAGTAGAGGGTACAGATAAGCACAGATAAATCAAGAGCATGTTGTTTAAAAACTATAGGATGGGGCTGGCTCCATGGCGTAGCAGTAAACTGCTATTTAAGATAAGCTGGATGCCACTTGGTGACTGCAGTTTGAATTCCCAGCCGGGTCAGCCTGGAACATGCCAAGCACGCACACACACACACACAAGTGCCCTAGATCCAGGTAGGCTCAAGGATTAGAGGAAGGGGATTATGGCATGACAAGACCCTGTGGCCAGTGTTTCTCTCTTGCTCCACTTCTCCCATATATGTGCAAGCGCTCCATTATAAGTAGTAATATGCTTTATGATCTAGAATAAAAAATAATTTTAGTCACAGGAAAAATACTTAACCTAGACTGAGAAAAGGGTTGACAGGCAAGGTTTTATGCAGATTTTGACAAGTTGCTTTTAAAACTGTGAGTACTTATTACTCAAGCAAAATATCAGGATAAAGTATGTGTGAGGCATAGGGAAGTGTGTGGAAATATAGGAATATTCCTCATGTAGAAAACTGTAAGCACTGAACAATAAAGCACTCTGCAAGGGAGGTAGGGGGCTTGCATGTAGGAATAGGAGAAAAGGAGAAAGGTGAATTGGTAATAAGGGAAGAAAAGGCAGAAGCCAAACATTAAAAAAAGTGTCTTGCTAATTACCTGCAGGTTATGTTAATGGCATGAAAAGTCAGACAAGCAGTTTAAGTAGAAAACTAATAAAATCAAATTTGCATTCCAGATAGCACAAGTTGGCTGTGAAGTACAGGAGAAGATAAAAGGCTGAAACAGAAAGACATCTAGGAAACCAGCACAATAACTCAGACATCTGTACTAGCTCAGTGATCTGTACTATGGCATAAGCAGTAGGGTCAAGGGTAAGAGTGAACACAATGTTAAAGAAGTAGACTGGGCATGACGTGGTGTGCAGACAATACACAGAGCTAAAGGGAGAAAGAGTCAAGGAAAAGCTTAGGGTAAGAGTGAACACAATGTTGAAGTAGACTGGGCATGACGTGGTGTGCAGACAATACACAGAGCTAAAGGGAGAAAGAGTCAAGGAAAAGCTTTAGACTCTGGGAGACTAGGATGATGGCAAAACCACTTGTGGAAATAGGGAGCATGGGGCGGGAGGGAGGATCTGGGCTGAGTCACCTAACAACTGTAACTGAGAGATTTATGAAGATGTGTAGTCGTCCACAATAGACAGAGGTTGGAGGCTGGATATGCATGAGAGATGTAGCTTGGGGGCTCTTATCACATGGGTGGTAACTGAAAGCACGGGTGAGACTGACAGCACCTTACACTCACAATCCTGAGAAGAACCTATCCCCACAAACATATATACAGGGCAGGCAGAGAAAAAGATGTGAGGCTCAGAAGAAATAAACAGTGGGACACAAAACTGAGGGGACCATAATCTCCTTAACAGCAATGTTACAAAAACTATCATCTCGGGAACCAGCAGTTAGCGTAATGGCTATGTCACTGGACTCCCATGTAGCC